TCTCTCTCTCTCTCTCTCTCTCTCTCTCTCTCTCTCTCGTCCGCAGCGTTCGACGCACGGGATACCCGTTTGTCGCGTTGGAGCGGAATGGCTCGTGCCGCAAATGGAGTGTGGTCGAACGTGAGTACCGTTTTTGTACCTGTTCGGACCGTTTCCCTTGCGCCACCACCACAGCAGGCACCCCGCAAACTCCCCTGCACGACGCAAATGGGCTTGCGCATTTTTTTTTTTTTTTGGTGCATCAGGCGGTACCCGACAGCGGACACTACCACCCCACACTTTCACAAAACCCCTTCCCCCCCCCCAAACGCACGGAAATGCGGTTCGCGGACCCGGTTCATTCCCGTCCAACGCACGTTTGAATGGGGATTGGACGCGAATTTAACGCGCGTTCAATTTTTCAACGCGAAACCCGCGTTGAATCGATTTTCGGACACACATTCAACAAATAGGTAAAGTGATTCATTGTTTTCTGCGGCGCGGACGACACACTGGAAGATTGCATGCTTGGATGGCGTTAAACGTGGGAGGTTGTTGTCGAGGGTGCGTCGTAGGATATGTTGATCATAAGAGATTTCGTCATCGATGATTCGGGGGATGCCTTGGCGGCGCGGTCTTTCGGAAAGATTTTCAGCTTGGTCTCGATCTTCTGCGGTCGGGGCAGCGAGGGCGACGTCGCAAAGTTCTTTGCCTTCTTTTTGGAGGCGGTCTTCGATGTCAAGCAAGACCATTGTTTTGATAATTAATGTTGGGACTTGGACATCACGAAGATTTCTACGAAAATCATCTGTCATTTGTTCCCAATGCTTTTCGAAGAACGCGTTCGGATCACTGATAGCATAATGGAGAATTATGTGGACGAAAAGGTCACGTACCATGAGCGACGACGATGTGAAAATAGCATATTGCAGGACGACATCGAATTGGGTATTGTCGTTTAGGAGGCCGAAGGCCTTGGATGCGGATTGGTTTGTTGGGTGAATTTCTCCGGCAACAGTTCGAAGATGCTGAAAACTTGTAGCGTCGCGTGAAAGTGGCGAGAGCAGGAAAATTCGGAGGTAGAATGAGTCACCCCCATTTGGGTGGATTGTGTTCATTGCGTTTTGGCGAGCAGTCCAACGCTTTGCGGTTTTGTCGAAACGAAAGCGGCGTATCATATCTTTGTAGAGCGGTTTGTCATCTTCAGGATCTTGAAGATGAGCAACACTCCATTTAAACCATGCCGTGAGTTCTGTTTTGGGTGGCGGCGCATGCGCAATTTGCAGGGTTTGTCGATGAAGGAAATATACGCGTTGTCGGTTTTCGGTGTGAATAGGCAGAGGCGTGACAGCGGGGTAGCGATCGCATAAGGCAAAGTCGAAAATGCGCCAACAGGATTCAGCAGCACCAATCGTTCTCATATCTTGGTATGTTTGAATTTCGTCCTCAATATTCATTGCCTCAGCAACCATTGCTCGATCAGACCCTTTGAAAATGTACTCAAACATGTACCGGCATGCGGCGGTTAAGGCACAAATTTCGACATTGAAGTGTGTGCGATATCGGAGGAGGAGGTAGGGGTATTAAGGGACAACCCAGGAATAATCAATTTCAGTGTTACCATGAAGTGCTGTCAGTCCTCCGACATCAGGCGAACGGAGACGGTAAATTGGGTATCCGGTTTCTTCGTTCCAGGTTGTGCGTTCGGAGAAATCTTTAGGGAAAAAGCGTGTGCAACGGTCGTTATGCATACACAATGCGTGCATGTTGTGTACACCATACGAATTGTGAATCATGTGAGCAAGGACGAGCTCTCGCAATGTAGGATTGGTGGGAAGCTCCGTAGAAACAACATAATCTATTTCTTCGGGTGTTTGAAATTAGTGGTCTTGTTTGAGCGTGACAATAATATGCGCGTGCGGCAGACCACGTTTTTTAAATTCAATGACATATGTATATGACGTTGTTGGGCCGAATATGTGAGTCGAGTGTATGTCGTGGATGAGTTGACGAAGATATCCTTTGAAAACATATGCAAGGAGGTCAGGGCGGTCCGCTGATTGCTGATTCGCGAAGAGTGCACTTTGTATTTCGGGCCAATGCGGGTTGCATGTGAAAGTGAGGAATAAGTCAGGCGCTCCATATTCTTGGACGGTCGCCATGGCATCCTGATATCGGCGGTGCATGTCACGGGGACCTCCAGTAAATGTTCCACGTAGGATAATGCGTTGGCTGACATTCTCTGTATTGTCATATTGCATAACATGATCTCTAAGGCTTTGGTACAGGTCGGCGCGTATATCTGTTTGGTGAAAGCGATTGTATAAGAGGCGGCCATTTTCAATTTTTGCGAATGCCATGCAGACGTATTGTTGGAAAAGTCGAGAGGCGCAAAAAGGGTCGTTCTTTCAGTGACACGTGTGTTCAAGTGAAAAACGTAAAATTCTCTTGCTGTAGTACATCGAGCGGTGTTCTCATCATCGTAATCGCATTCAGGTGTCCATCCGTCATCACCATTAGG